GGTGCTACTGGGGGGATACGTTGGACCTACCTCCGTGACAGACACCGAGAGGTTTCTCAGGGTTGCGTCACAAGTTTCGGCTTACACCTCACTCACTCCGCCTCTCTATTTCCGTGAAGGGTACTATCACTGTGGGAGAGCGAGAGGAGAGGGGTGATATATATCCCCTGGTTGGATCGCGAGCACGAAATTCCACTCCTCGTTCATCACGATGCAATTCTCCTGGTGGATGCATTAAGGGTAATTCCGTAGCACGCCTCTTCTCTTGCCTCGGCGATCATCGCTGCTATAACCCCAACACCATCATTCAGAAAGAATTCTTAGTCACTTGCACTTCTCGGGATTAGTGACGTTATTGAGGTTTTTTTATTATTTACTTCACCAGACAAACTGGGGGCGGAAATCAAGACACTAGTGTCACGTTTTTTAAGACGCTTGGTGCCCCAATTTTAAGTCATTTTTAGGGTCTTAAATTACACATTGAAACATGCTTTCCAGACAATTCAAAATATTTATTCGACTAGTTGTTCCTGATGTTGTCCACTGCACTGATTGGTCAAAATCCGTTTGGGAATGATAATCTGACAAATACCTCTCGAGCTTCAAAATTAATCGGGTATTAATTTTGAAGCTCGAGAGGTATTTATCCCTCAAGCTTTCTTGCAAACAAACGATCATGCCAAGTTTTGCAGAAAAAAACCCTTTATTAACCTGCAAAACTTGACACACTCATTTGTTTGCAATGAATACCCGATAATTTTGAAGCTCGTGGAGTTCTACTACCGAAAAAATTAACCTACAAACTTCTTTTCATTGTGCAGAGAACATATCGTCTCCCGTCACCAACAGAACCGAATAAATAAAAAGTCATTGACCCAAAGCCCCTGATTCTCCTCCATGTAAACATATCCCTCCATCCAAGCACTGAACGACATCGAGCTTGTTTCACCCACCTTATACCACCCCTCGTTTAAACATCCCCCCGGTCCCGCGCTTTGATTCCGCTCCACCGAGCTCGCCACTCGATGTAACGGATAGTGCACGAATCCCGTACGACGCGTTCACTCCGCCTCGAGTGACAATGTACACTGGCCCCATGTATCCATGACTCCAGTGGCAAGTGAATAAGTAAGACAAAGATAGAAACAATCTGGCGTAGCACACAGTGAGGATGAATAACTGGTTAATGCAGTCGTGTCAGTTCATTCGTTCGATCACTGATTTCTCCGATCGTACTGTCTGACTCAACAGTGACTGCAACCACTGCCAGCACGCTCCACTGATTTATCCGGCATCGTCGAAGGGCCGGCTCTTTCTTTCCTGTCAGGTCACCTCATTCAGTCTGATTCCCCCCGGTGGAGTTGAACGATTAGAGGTCATCCAACCAGAGCCAAACCTCAGTCGATCAATTGAGTCGTCTCATTATTATCATCTCCCCTTCTCTCTTCGCTATTGCCATTGTGCTCCAGTGAATTTATTCTCTCGTAAATGCGGGATTTATTGAACATTTCAAATAACAATTTCTATCACCCGGGGCTTTTACGATGATTGCGATGCAATGTCACTTCTTTTTCATTCGCTATTTCTACTCTGCTACGGGTATTTATCGTTTGTTTATGGTTTTTCTTTTGTAAATACCGAATGGGTATTAATTCTCAACACCAAAAGAGATGAACTGTATTGAGTTCTGGTATTTGCTGGTAGTTTGGGAGAGTACTTCCGGAAATTGCGGAATCTTTGAGGGGCAATTTTTGTGGATGAATAATTTTGAAATTATTATTTCCAAGTTTTTTTGTGAGCAATTAAAATGAAAAGTCTTTGGTTTGAAGAGACTGTTGAGAATTTATGGATGAAGTTTACGGTAGAGTTCTTGGAAACATTTATAATTTCATTATTGAAAATTCAGAATTTTATGAGAAAATTAAGGGAAACTGTAGGTTTTAGTTGAAGTGTTTTGTAAAAAATTGAACTAATTAGAATAGGAAAATTTAGGTGAATATTTAGTGAATTGTGTAATTACTGTTCCGACTTTACTATTCATGTTGAAATATTACCTGAGTTTTCATGGATATTAATGGAAAAATCTGTGGCATTTTTCGAAATGACATGGAAAATATGGCAGTAATTCTCAGCAGAGTGGCACTGAATTCGATTTACGCGAAAAATGGTTATTGAATTTCAAGTTTTTGTAAGAATTCAAGAGAATTCACGAGTTTGCAATTTTTCCCGGAATTTTCTTGATTTTTCCGTATTTTCAGGGAATAATTGAACTAAACAATCAAGTATTTTATTGATTTTCAGACCATTCGAAAAGAAAATCAATGAAATATTTGATCTTGCAATGACAAGATTTTCTGAAATTTCTGTGGAAATTAAGCACGATAAAAATTTCCGGGATGTGACACGGACAATTCAGACGAAAATTTTCAACAGTGTGTCCTTCAAATGTCGACGATTCCCTTAATTTCATGATTTTTCTCCACCTAAATCCACCCAATATGGTCGCCTTTCAATTCGATTCTTTCCAATTCCATTACTCGTACTGGGATATTCTTAACATGTAATTCACGGATATATTCAATTATAATACCACGAGAGTTTCAAAATGATCGTGTATTTCCCAATAGCTTCATTGCAAATAAATAAGAGTGTCAAGTTTTGCAGGTTAAAACTTTCTATTTTTCATGCAAAACTTGACACGCTCGTTTGTATGCAGAGAAGCTTGAGGGAAATACCCGATTCATTTTGAAGCTCGAGTGGTATTCGGCGGACTATTTCCTTCTTCAGAATTTCGACCAAAGGAATTGTTTGCGAATATTTTCTTAGCCGCTACGGGTAACAGCGTATAACCGAAAATTAACGAAATAATACCATGTTACATCCCCGAATGCGACGATTCTATTGGTCGAGATTCTGAAGGAGGAAATAGTCACCTAAATTTGCTAATTTTTCCGAATTTTCACCCAATATTACTCCCCGGAATTCATTGGCTGAAAGTGCAAGGTGTTTACACGCCCCGTCGCACGACAACAAAAGTGTAGCGAGGACATTCGCACTTTTAGCGCTGAAGATGGTTGGCAAAAAATGCTAAAAGGTGATAAAAGTTGAGAGTCACCTACGGTTTATCCACTTGAAAATAGTCGGGGCGGTCCGGGGCAATTGGAGACGGACGTTTAGCGAGTAGAAATGGCTGGTAAAAGGGACGAGTCCTACTGGGGTTCGTGTCGTTTTTGCAGGAAAGGTTGCCTGGGCTCTTAGAGAATGGGGGAGAGGGGGGCTCGGCCTTGTGGAAAACTGGCGCCGATTAAATGCAAATCTCGGGAGGGTGCTTATCGCCATCGCGGCACGCGGGTACCCGCTGAGGAAACCTGCGGAGTTCCCCCGGGGGAGGTGAGGCAGCTACTGCTGATTTTGTTGTTTTCCCTTTTTGTCATCCCACCGCGATACAATTAGCAAGGGGCCAGGGTGACGGCACTCCCCCGGCTGTTAATTAAACGTTTGCGTGCCACAGGGACGACGATATTATCCGGTTTTATATCTGCTTGAATATTGATAAAAAAAGAGAGTGTTACGTACTTGTTTGCACGTTTTAATATTTATTAAGAAATTATGTAAGCTTGGGAGGAAGGGTCTCGTGTTGCGTGCTAATTCTTTTTGCTCGGGCGATTTCAATCTGTGTTCCCCGGAATTAAGAATATTGGTATCAATTTGTAAGATTTCTTTTTTGCTCACAGAGAAATAGTTCCTTTTTTTATGAATATAAATGTTGTTCATACGAATGGAGATTTTATTGGTTAAAAATTGAAGAATTGATGAATGGTGAAGATAGCGATTTATGAACATTTAATAATCCATCATTTGGAATGCGTGAGTTATTCATTTCATACAATCAAAGCATTTCCGTTGGAATAATTATGCGAGTTACGCGGAGAAAAATTACTAAACGGGTCAAGTAATTGTGAAGCAACCTCGATTTCTAGTACTTTTTCACCTTAAATAGAAAAAGGGCGAGATTAATAGTGAATTTTCCTCCGTTGTCCCGGGAAAATTTACTAAACGTGAGAGTGATTTGTACCGAAAGTTGAAAGTACAATTTACCCTTTATCCCACACGGTTAGAAGTTTTTCGAAATTTCATGGAAAATATGGTAGTAATTCTCATGACAGTGACGTTGAATCCGATTTAGGAGAAAAACGTTTCTGAAATTTCAAGTTTTAGGTAGAATTCGACTAACTTTACGAGCTTTCAGTGGAACTGAAACGGAAAGTTCGCAACTTGATTGAATTTTCAATTGAACATAAATATTCAGAAACAAAATGACATAAATTTTCGAATTTTCCTTGCATTTTTCAGATTTTCCCGAATTTTCACGGAATAATTGAAACACAGAGCAGAACAGAAGATCAATAGAATGTTCGATTTTTCAATGACAAGATATCCTGAAATTTCAGTGGAAATTAAACAGGATAAAAATTTTCGGGATTTGACACAGAAAATGTAGACAAAAATTTTTAACAGTGCATCAAAATTTATCCTAGTGAACGTGAATAATTGCTCCAATTTTTCGTACAATTTTTCTGTAACTGAGAATGATCTCTATCGACCCTGTTTGGCAAAACAAACAATCCCCTGCCGGTGTCAGAAATTTTTCTAAACAGGAGGATAATTTTTGCATCCATAGATGTCTTTTTTCCCGGGAAAATCGTGAGATATCCACTAAAAACCAGTATTTTTTTACTGAATTACATTTCGCTCCACGATTACCCATTCGTATAGTAACATTTGTCACGATTTTCGAGGTAATTTTTATCCAACTTTTCTCTCCGTGTGTCAACTTCAAACAGACATATTGTTGAAATGAATAAAATGCAAAATAGAAGCGTTTAATTGATTGAAGACAAATCCATTCGATGAAGAACATTTATTGATAAACACTGACTCAGTATGATCCCTAAAAAACCGAACCGAAAATATTGAGTAATTAATACGAGGAAACTCACCGTTCGATTACCCGGATGCTTGACGTGACAACTGAGTACAGCTTTTTGTCCAACAATGCCTGTGATGTTTTTCTCAGTGATATCGTCGAAATAAGGTTTGTCCCACGCTCTAGTAGGTTTACTGCCGCTCGGAATGACACTCGCCAAACTGGAGCCTCCTGAGAATAAACAACTCCAAGTTACTTTCCAGAAAATCGGCATAAAAAATAAGAGATTGCGTCAGTCCACCTCAACAGGCGGAGATTTCCCAGTGACATGGACATTTCACCGGGAAATTCGCTCTACCGCTGTTATTAACCGAGCGGTTGGAGCGGTTGGAGTACTACGTGAGCCTTCTGAAGAGAGCTGTAACCAGGATATTGTAATAAGAGCTTTATCCGATTCACAACATTCCTGACAGCTCGAATGCATTAAAATTCTCCACTCCCTTGCAAAATCCTCCCTGAGATGCTCTCATATCTCACTCCACTCGCCCCCAATCTTTCGTCGCTTAATTAATCTCCGGGTCTACCCAACATTCGTATCTCTTTCAATTTCACCGGCAACCTCCCGTGTTCATACCACATAAACATTAATTATTCTCAACTTCTGATCTCATTCGTTTTTATTCATCCCCCCGACTCGAACGAGATTTAATGAATTTGTTTTCCCTTGGCATCTGATTTTTATCATTAGGGATATCCAAGTACTTCGGCTATTTTTTCTTCCGCGAAATGCTTTTCTACATTTGTAGTCGAACATCAAAGCTTTCCCTTGAGCCCATTTTATTATTTTATTTTTATTATTATTTAAAATTTGCCTGTCTGCATTTGAATCTCGATATTGAACGGTTAGAAAACATTTTAAAAATTCTGAAAAAAAATAGAAAGTGTACGTTGGAGGAAGATTGATGAAATAATTTTGAAAATGCAAGTGTTGAATATTACGAGTATTTTCTACAAATAATTGATATACAATTAATTTTCAACTATAAAATTCATTTATTTGGAATCGTAACAAATGTATTCATATTCAAAATTTTACCAAAAATCGATTTCGTGCCGGAAAAAATAAAATTTCCGAAAGTTTAAACAATTTCAATTATTTATTGATTAACAACGAATGTTTAAAAAAATCACAATTCTGTGTGAAACGTAATTTGAATGTCGCTGACTGCTCATGATTTTTTTGATTCTAAGTTAATTTAATTTTTATTATGCTTACAGAGGAAAGAAGTTTTAGTTTTCAAGGATCAGCGGTATTAAAAAATTTAACTAGTGAGTAATCCTGAAATCCGGTTATTTTGGCACTAATTCCCAGCGACATTATCCTAAATTCCGTGTCTGAATTTCAGTGATTAAATTCCCAAAGTTGTAAAGCAGCAAGAAGAAATGTCAGAGTTAGATGCACAATAAAATAGCATTATATGATACACAACTTAATTTTATTATATGAAAAATCAGGAATCCACGGCTTTCAGATCTAGACGAAATATACAGTGGCTTATTCGTATGTCAAATCCCGACTCTACACTTATTCCAATACCTTACAAACACAATCATTGTCAAGAATCCGTAAAAATTAGGGATAGATAACTGAAAATTTAAAGTACTGAAAATATTTAAAAAAAAGCTTGCTACTCTCCATGTTGAATCGTAATTTTTCTACGATTTTAAAATTCAATCACCACAAAACTTATATTACAGTTCTATAAAAGAGTATCATGAGTCATCGTTTCCTCCTTTCTATCCCGAAATTTAGTAAAAATTAACTTTATCCTGATAAAAATAAAAAATGCCGTGCCGGTAGAGTAAAAATTACTGTACCGGTAGGGTAAAATTTATTATGCGCCAGGATAAAATTTCTCTAAAGTAGAATAAAATTTAACCATCATATATTAATTTTTACTAAATTTTGGGATAGAAATGAAGAAACGATGACACATGATACACTTTTATATAACAGTAGGATCATTTTTATCAAAAATTTTTCTCCGTGTAGGTAAAAATTACGTAACAGTTCCATAAAATTTCCTACAACCAAATTGCGCTACGGAATTACGGAAAAGATATGTAATTTTTATTGAATATTTCCCTCCGTGTGATCTCATACTATTTTTATTCACTCGCTCCCTCCCCTCACTCGAACAATATTTAATGAAATTTCTTTTTCCCCTCGGCATCTCATTTTCATCATTAAAACCATCCTCATAGAAAATTCATGATCACGGAAATAAGAGCAATGAAAATTCTCGAAATGCCAGTGAATTCAAACGCGCGAAAAGGGAACTCCTCCCGATCCAAAGGAAAGGAGGTGAGGTGGCTCACGTGTAAAAAAAATCGGATCGCTCTGCGAACTTTTAACGAACGATGATCGAAATGAATCCGGTAAATTGCTGGAAATTCGATTAAACGAGGGAGACAGAGATGTGAAATGGTAAAATTAGACGTGTGTACTAGAGCGAGAATGAAAAAAAAAAGCCACACGTAGAGAAAAATGCGGCGGGAGAGAGAGAGAGAGAGAGAGAGAGAGAGAGAAAAAAAAACACATGAAATAGACGCCTTTACCCCCAGTGTTCTCCACTATTTTTATTTTACCCAAGAGAATTTTTAGCCAACGTTTTGGTATTGGCCGCGTTATTCGAGTGGTCGTTCCCAACGACTCTGGCATTCAATTTAAATTTTTCCAACCCCTCTATACACTCGATGCCAAGCTCTCTCGTTCTCCCCACTCCCCCCTCTGCCCTCGCCACTATCACATTTTTTTGCCCGCCCCCAACCCCCTTGTTATGTTTCAGTACAACCTTCGTACACTTCATTCCAGTGGCTGTTGTTTTCTCTGTTCTCACTGGGTGGGCATTCTCCACCCACAGTTGCGTAAAACGGCACAAGTCACCGACGAAAGGGAGTGGAAATAGAGACAGAGAGAGAGAGAGAATTTTACAATGTCCTCGACGTTTCATGTTTACTGGTCGAACCATTGGAAATACGAATTTCCTGTTGTGGTAGTTTGCACGTANGGGGGGGGGGGGGGGGGGGGGGGGGGGGGGGGGGGGGGGGGGGGGGGGGGGGGGGGGGGGGGGGGGGGGAAGTGTGGGAGAAGAGAGAAGGAAATACGAGAGTGAGGGGAGCATTAGTGAGCGAGGTGAAACCTTGCGAACCATTGACTTCAATAATCATTTGATATCATATCGGAGGAATGAAATTCATTAGGCAAGTGTGTAGACAAAATCTCCAGTCGGTTTTACCCACACGAGAACAACTCAAAATTTAACCCACCAAAACAGTGGAACCGAAGTTTGGGACTCCTCTGGCGCCAGTGATTGGATATACGAGTATAGAAATTTATGTCTATGTGTGTATAAATTTTATATATGTGCATGAAAATCCATGTTTGCGTGTATGTGACACTGTGGCAGTAGTTTCACGGGGTAGGAGCTAGGGGGGAGGGGGTGAATCACGATTTATCGCACTTGGAGTAGTGGAGGAGGGCAACAAAATGGAAACTGCAGAATGGTGTCGGGTTCGATTCATGTATAACGGGGATGGCGAATTTACGGCACAGTCGAGTGAATAATTATTCTACCGATTATACGATTGACGCCAATGGGAGTCCTTCCCAATTCTTCACATATTTCCGGTGTTTTTTTTTTTATGCAGGCAGTTTGTTGGGGATTTTTTCATTACGAGGGGAATTCCTGCACTGCGAATGTGATTTGACAATTGTCAATAGAAAAGAATCAATTACAATGGAACAAAAGGGAGAAACATTTTCCAATTGTATTCTGTTCAGTCTCACTGTTCATTTTGGTGTAGAAATATTTTTTCAAATCAATTGTACTGATGAACTTGCCGTTGTCCTCACCAAGTATTATTTTTTTCCAACTCTGGAACAATCCACTGGGATTTGTTTTTCCAAATAGGAAAAAAAACGGATGGGGGTGGAGAGTGGGTGAGTGTCAGCACGAAAAGGGAAACACGAAAATTCTAATTACTCAATTAAAATATTCAGCGGAGTTGTTGGGAGAATGCGGTCGAAAAAATAAACCGAAAACATGGGGGAAAAAGTATGGAATTGTAACAATGGAGCTTTAGGTTGTTAAATATTAGTGTGTCAAATGTTGTTTTAATTAAAACTACTCTGGCCCGGGTAAAGCATTTGGTGTCAGTGCGGCTGGGAGTCTCGTGTTTTTACTCGGTGAAAGGTACATCTGATTTAATTAAATATTTCATTTGGACTTGGCGCTAGGAATCTGAGTGCAGGCTCTAATTACATGAAATTATAGAGATTTTTTATAATTAATATTACGATGGAATTCACTGGAGGAATGAGTCTTGTTATTTATGATTTATGGCTACTTTTCTGAATTTTTCATCGAAACATCGATGTTTTTTACTATTTAAAGTTTCTAAAAATATTTTCTCCGATCTCGAAGACAACTTTGATTCTATATTCACTGAATTATTGCAATAGTAAACTTTTTTCTAATTCCTAAGATGGTATTTTTTGAAGGCCAGAAGAGTGAGAAAGAAGCTCGCAAAAGATAATAAACTGTTAAAAAAATTTGGCGGAATTTTCCGGAAAAAACATTAAATTCGATTTAAGGGGGAAAAGTCGATGGAATTTTGAGTTGCTCTGAAAATTGAAATTCCACAATTTACATTAATTTTCAAGTGAAAATGAATATTCACAGCCAAATTCCCTTGAATTTTCAGGCAATTCTTTAAAATCCTGGGAATTCCCTAATTTTCAAGGAATTCCCTAAGAATTTAGAGGAATCTGGATTCTAAAAAGAGATTTCTTTGAATTTTCCTGATTTTTTATGGATTTTTCCGGAATAATTGAACAGAAATTTGCAGTTCCCACGGATTTCTCCCTGAAATTATGGATTTTCAATGTAATAAATAATTCTGAATTTGAATTTTTAAATTGATAATGACTTCGATAACTAAAATGGAAGAGTGATACTAACAAATTGACGACTTCATTATTAACCGTAAATTATAATTTATGGATATGGCTATCCCCGATCACAAAATATGGAAAATGATTACGTTACATTGTAAAAACTCCACACAATATTATAATGTTACAATTTTCACAAGGTTCAACGCCGAAACATCAAAGATTATTGAGATCAGTTTCAAATGGAGATCCCTGGATATTTCAAATTACATGA